GCAGTCCGAAGTCCCAGGGCGAAAGGGCTCCGGGGCGCGCGCCGCCGGTGTTGCGCGCTTGAGGCGCCCTGGCCGGGGGGATGCCCCTGTGCGGGCTCGGCGACTAGCCCGGCCGCCTGGTGCATGGCCCAGCTATGGAGGTGGTGGACGAGACAGAGGCTCTGCAGCGCTTCTTCGAAGGTAGGCGGGCGCGAAGCCCGGGCACGTTGTGCAGGGCAGGGAGAAGGGCGAAGCAAGCCGGGCTCCCTCTCGCCGTTCGGCGCCCGCTTCTCCGCTGCTTTTGGATTTGGGGGTTAGCGGCGCGTGAGGACGGCGGCGGCGCCTCGGGAAATACGTGTCTGTCGTGTCGTGTCGTGTCGTGTCATGTCGTGTGGTGCACCGCAGGTGTGTGTTGGAAAAGGTAGAAATTGTGGGGTTCACATGAAGGAAGTTGCGAGAAGGGGTTTTAGAATGACATTCGTTTTGGACGCTGCACGCGGAATCAGCACTAGCACAGCCTCGCTGATGACTTCCCACGAGGGATCTCAGAAAGGGAATCCAGATAGTACTGCCAACTCCGCCTCGCGAGTGGCTTTTAACGAAACTCTCCCCGCTCCCTCTCTCCGCTCCCCCCGTTCGTATCCTGAAATTGCACGCATCAGTTCTTTATTTACTTTCCTCTGCCACTCAAAGCTCACCTTGCATTACAGTATGGCAGTGGTCACGTGTTACGGGCGATCCTGAGCTCGCTTGCTGGTCTTGTTAACGCGTGGGTCCGTGTCTGAATTGCAGATGAAAGCGTTGAGGGCCACGGCTGAACTAAGATATGAGTTAGACGTGTGTAAAAACACTGGGGGGGAAAAAAGTTTCCAAAACTCACTGGCAAAGGAAATCAGTAATAAATTAGAGAGCAGAATCAAAAGTGGTTGTGTCAAGGCCATGTGCCTTCCACCATCTTTCTCCAAGTTTTTAGAATCCTTTATTATGTCTTTCTGATTACATCTAATTGTTAATAATTGGTTAGAGAACCCATGCTGACCGACAGCCTGAATACACTCAGACAATGCAAAGTTACCTTTTACCTTTTCCTGTAATACATAACCAGTGGCAGAAATCCCTTTCACAGCACACTGATCCTGTATTCATTCTAAAATCCTACAGTCATTCTCAAGTGGGTCTCAGGTCATTTGTCACATGTCAACGTTATCCACTCGTTACTAGGCTTTGAGAAGTCCCTTAATCTTTGGTAAAAGATTATATACTAATGAGGATTCCTTTCCTGTCTGCGGTGTGTCTTATTCAACATGGCAAAGGCCTGTATGCAGTTTTTCCTACATGGTTTCCATTTTGTTACCATGCTGTCATAATATCCTGTGATGGATATTATTTTTTATTGTAGAATTCTAAATTCTGTGGAACCCAGAAAATTCCAGGGATTTGATCCTTTCCTCACAGCACATTCTACCTGTTGCATTGTGGCAAGCCTCTGATTGCCACGGATCACAAAAGGAGCTTGCAGCCAGTTCTGACTCTCTGAGGTACACAAAAGAAATGTATCTGTTTCATTCACCTTTTATGCGTACTCTTAAAATCTGAGGAGTAGACATTTTAAAATGTTAATTATTGGAGCAAAAATAATAAATCTTGCAGCACCTTCAGTACCAATGCAATTCATTATGGCATAAGAATATTAGTTTTTCTGATGTTTTTATTAATTTCTTCATCTTTAAAAAGCTGTAAAACTTTTGTTTTCACCTGCTGAAAAATATTGTGTGAACTTACTGTTAAGGAAGCCAATTATGTGTTACTTGAGTGCTCAATATTTAGATTATCTGATATATGGTAATTTCATTTTACTTTTGGGACGCTAAAGTTAAAATAGGGGAGTCTGACTGTTGTACTGTTTTCCCTACGGAAATTGCTCCTTTCCTTACCTACAACCTGCTATTAGCTCCAGAGGATGAACATATTATTTCACTTCTTGAGAAGCTAACAACAGCCTGCAGGATGGTGGACATCATTATGTTCTTAATAAAAATATATCTTGAATTAAGACAGAATATCCTTGCTGAATCTTTTTTTTTAGGTCTTTCTCTCTTTGAGTCATTTTTCTTCTGTGTTTCAAGATTTGCTTTGCTGTAGTTCCTATCTTTGTTTATAAACCATTTTCTTCTTTGTAGTTCTCAAATTCTTCTATGATTCTTTCTGTTTTTCTTTCTTTGTAACATTTAACATTTCTGCACACCATCTTTTTTAGCAGTACTTTTGTATTTGTGGATTCAGGGGGAAAAAATGGCTTATTTCATTGATCCTGATTCCACTTCAGGTATATTGAAAACTTGCACATCATATCAAGCTGCTTTTACTGATCAATAAACAAGCAAGGTGTGTGGAGAAGGCATCCCCAAGTGGCATCCTGTATGAATCATTTTTAAGTCACGTCCTGTGCCCCTCCGTTGTGGACTGGTGGTATAGAAGAGAGACTTGAAGGTCAGCATAATGCATTGGACATGTCCAGGATTTGATAAATATTTTACCCTCTTCCTTAATGCTTCTTTTCTTGCCGACTTCCTCGTGTAGTGATGATGTGGCAGATG